TCAACAGGGCTCCTTTATCTCCCTAGATCTCAACCCTATGCCCACGGAGGAGATCGTGCAGATGTTCAACGAGCTGCGGAGCGACCTGGTACTGCTGTATGAGCTGAAGCAAGCCTTTGCCAACTGTGAATACGAGCTTCAGATGTTACGGCATCGCTATGAGGCCCTGGCCAAAGCTGGTAGTATCGGCCCCCTCAGCGTGGAAGGCAGCCATCCAGATGGCCAGACAGGGCTCGGCATCGAGGAGGGCAAGGGAGATGCCAAGGACCAGATCATTGACGTAGTAGGAGCACCACTGACCCCCAACTCGGTGAGAAGGAAGGTTGTGGGGGCAGAACAGGGAGCACTCAGGTCTCCGACGCAGATGCCGTGACGAGCACTGGGATGCTGCCCTGCTCTCCCTCCAGGCGTGCGCGTCCAAGGGAGCACAGCACGCCTTTTCCCCCAAGTCCCAGTGCTCTCTGGGCTCGTCTCCTGTGCTGGACAGTGTTCTTGGTGCTATAGGTGGGGTCAGCAGGTCTTTCTTCATCCTGCATGCAGGCAGATGGCTTGATGTGGGTGCCATCGTGGACCAAAGCAGTGAAGCTTTGCCTGACGAGAGCTTGCACCAGGGCAGCGGCAGTGATGCCAGTACAGCTGCAGGCCTGAGGCATTTTCCTCCAAGCCACATAAGGGCTGCTCAGCAGAGGGAAGCAAGCGGGAAAAGCAGTCTTGATATGATGAGCCACGACCTGCCCAAGTCCCTGGAGTCGAGTGGTATCCTGCCTGGGGCAGAAGGCTTGGGAAGGAGAGAGGTATTTGAAGAGCTGAGCAGTGTTTCCATACTCTGCTTCCAGCGCTGAGGAAGAAAAGCCAGACCTCGGAGTTCTAGAAGCCACTGAAGCTTCGCCACGAAGCCCTGCAACAGCACCCTGTGCGTGTCCATCTGCAGGTTGTACATCAGCAGCCCTCTCCTCCCTAACTCTGTGAGGGCAAGTTGCCCAGCCCCTCACCCTCAGCCCTGAGGCAGTGGTGTGCTTAGAGGTCAGGCAAGGCTGCTTTCCCCTCTGTGCGCTCCCCTGGAACAGCTGAGCTGAACTGTCTGACAAACAGCTGCCCGTCTCCACGCAGTGGCATCCCTGCCGCCTCAGATATACTGCCCCCGGTAGCGTCACAGACCTTTATTTTCTAAAATGTATAATGTATTATTGCAGGATATTCAGAACACCTTATCTGTCAACAGCAGAGGTGACGCATTAATCTGGACTTGAGTAATGTCCTGTTCAGTTGTGACAACGTGGAGTCATAAGGAAGCGTTCCACCGAGACAGGTTCATGTTCGCAAAGAAGTCTTTTGCATCTTTCTTTCACTGCATTCAATCTCACCCTTCGATGCGGTCCACAGTATCCCGGTTGGTGAACGCCTGGGGCTGCTTCGCATCGCGCTGCCTTCCCTCGACAACCCTTGATGGGAAGGAAGGCACTGGTGGCAGCGGCCATGGCTGCAGGAGGGAGAGCCCAAATGTGTTCCTGACCACCTTCTTCCTCAGCCCCACCTCTTGGAGATGGAAACAAAGAGGTGGGCCTGGGCAGCGCAGAGAGGGTTAAACTGACCTCGTCTCTGACATATTTGAAAGAAATATAATCAAGTTAATTCACTGCAAGGCAAATTCAGTACCTAAAGGGCCTCCATGTTAAATACAGCACTGACCTTTACCGGCTGATTACACAAAGACGACACAATTAGATTAGTCCAAGACAAAAGGTCAAGCACATTCACACTGTGACCATTTTATGCTACCTTTAGAGGGGGGAAGAAATTACCTCCCAGCTGGAGGGGTATCTGGATGAGGGGAACGGGACCCCTGTGCCGCCTTCTGCGTGGCTCAGGTATGTTTGGGGTGTCAGACACATGCAGGCACCATGCTTCCCTCTACCTTCCCTGCACTTCTGGGTGCTCAGGCAGTGTGGGGGACCAGCAGCCCATGGCCCAGAACCTGCTGTGAGCTGGCAGGATGTGAGCAGGTGTGTCCCGCTGCAGTGCTGAGCTAGCAATGCCAGCAGTGCAAGCAGACAGCTGTTTGTTGAGCAGGTGTTTGTCGGGGCATTCCCTGCCTGCCTGCTCAGCAGCACGATGCTGCCTCCCTGCTGCAGCCCTGGCCCTGGGTGTTTGTTGGTGATGCCCTGCCCTTTGCCAGGGCTGCTGCAGGGGTTTAAGCTGGCTGTGCCAAGCTGGCTCTGAGCTCCAGCCTGTGCTTTGCCACTGAACTGCCTCGGGGAGAGTCGAGTGATCTCCCTGCTTACAGATTGCTCCGAGTTAGAGAATCCCTTTGTGCTGCCCGTCCACGGCACTCCATGTGCTGGATTAAGCATGGATTAGTTCAGTTCCGAGCCAGCTGCTGCCCTGAAGCCAGCTTTGGTTCCCCAGGGAGAAGTATCTCGCTCCAGATGTTGGAAGGAGCGAGTGGCAAAGCAAGGAACGGGACAGCGAGCTCCATCTCCCGTACGGTGCCCCACAAGCCTCAATTCCTTTGCAGGTGTTGGCAGGGCTGGGTGAGGGCGCAGCAGCGTCCCGAGATCCAGGCTGTTAGCGGCTGCCCCGTCCCTCCTGGCAGCACTGCTGTCGGCGCTGTGCCCCCTTAGGAGCGGCGTCCCCGGGGCCGGCGCGAAGCCCTGCGCCGTGCTGCCTGCCCATGGCCGCCTCGTCCCTGCCGCGGCTGCCATCCCCCCTCCCAGGGGCTGCGGTGCCGGCGCTGACCATGAAAGCCGAGCCGGGATCCCCCTGGTGCTGACCCCGGTAGGGACTGTGCTCGGGGCCTTCGGGAGGTGAAAGGTGAGCCGAACTCGGAACAAATTAGTTCCAAGCAGAAGTTCAGCCAGTTACTCCAGATTGGATCCTTTGATTTCCGCAACTCAGACTCCACTCAGTGATCTGTAATGAGTGACTCTCAGAAATCCTCACATTGCAGCACTTTGTTCCCGAGCTCACAAGTCAGCCCATTAATGGGTAAAGGAAAAGACCTTGAGTCTAAGAAGTCTCGGGTTCAGAGTCAGAATTATTTGACTTTTAAGCTTCCTTTATCTGAACTCCTGCTGACTTCTTGTTTTCTGAGCCTGTTTGAAAGCTAGAAGTTACATTGTTAAGATCAAACATTCTCTCTTTCCAGATGGAGTTACAATATCTGTCTTTTATATATATATATATATATATATTTTAATATATATATATATAGTGTATATATACCAGGGTGTATATATATTCCACTTTTTTTTTTGTTGTTTAATCGCTCTTTCCATTAAAAGAAACTAGACTTGTAGGCTCTTGTAAATTATAATGTAAAACATTTTTTTTAACCAGACAGTTCCCAATTTTGCCCAAGGCGACTGGAATAGCTGCGCCGCAGAAGGCAATAGGAAGGTGATTAATATGAATTTGTGACATATTTGAAAGATGGGTCTTTTGCCATATAAAGATTATCAAACACATGTGCTCTTCCCCATTAATTCCGCAGCCCTCCCAGGAAAGCCACAAAGCCCGGCTCCTTTGTTTCCAGGGTGGGTTTTTGTTTTTAAATGTACCTTTTGGTCCCCTTGATTACCACGTATTTGATTTTTATAGGGCATCTGTTCACACTGCTGCGTGGGTTCTCAGGCCCTTTTATTTCCCCGTTAAGCGGATCCCGTGAAGGCAGCCGTGCCAGGGGCTCTGACCAACCCTGTGTGTGTGCTGTATTTAACTTGTAGCCGTGCAAATTCCACCCTCTGTTTGCCGTCTGCCCGGCACGCAGTGGGGCTGCAGGGCCTCCCACCTTGTGCTGCTCAGAGCACGGGGACCTGCAGGAGGAGAGCAGGGCTGCCTGGCCCGTCCCGGGGTGCTTGGTGGCAGGGCCGGCCTCTGCCTGCAGAACAGAGGGGGTGGTTCAGCAGGGATCCCATCCCGGTGTGGTGCAGATGGCTCCACCTTGCCTTGTGTACCTGGATTCAGCCCTAAAACTTTCCCCACTCTAAGTGATGCTGGCTATGAAGCCAGCTGCCTTGGTCACCCCATGTTTTACAGCATCCTGGGTGTGCTGCAGCATCTCTACTATCACCAGTAGTGGTGGCCGGGGCTCGGGCACTGCAGGTGCAGGTGGCCCCAGCCGTGTGCTCCCCCTGTGCAGAGCAGGCTGCCCACCCTCTCGACCCCTCTGTGCTGCCTTTCAAGTGTAACTGGCCATCGATCCGCCGTGACAACGTCCTCTGAGTCACATTCTCGCCTGCAGGAGTAAAGGGCAAAGGCCAAGTTCTTAGTTTTCATAGAAAACTAATTAGACGACTCCATCGAAAATAGCTCAATAAAGCTGATTGGGGGCTGCACAGAGGGAGCCATTAAAGCCCCTGTGACCTTTGCTTGGGTTGGGGCTGCCCCTTCCCTCCTGGAGCTGCTCGCTTCCTTCCAGCTGCTTGGCAGGTCCCAGCAGGGACCAGGCTGCAGTGCTGTCCCCAGGGCTGCCAGGTGCCCTGCCAGCAGTGTGACTCTGCGTCACGGTGCTGCACAGCTGGTGGCTCAGTGCAGTGCAGCTCACAATGGCCCTGATTGATGCCCGGGACTGAAGTTGATGCATGCTGAGGCTGCAGGGCAGGGGAGGTGACAGATGCTGGCGGTAGCTTGGTGACGGCATCACCCTGCTCTGGGCATTGCTGGGACGCAGCTCAGCTGGGATGGGATGGTGGCATCCTTGGGGCTGATCCGTGCAGGGGGCACACAGCACATGGACAGCTTGTCCAGGCCTCAAACATCCGAGGTGGTGGGAGAAAGGGACGGACACCTCGTGGTGGTTGTGCTGGAGTTTGTGATGGGGCAGCGCTCCCATCCGCAGCCCCAAAGCCCGCTTTTGCACTTGGCACCCATAAAGGGTGAGCTGGGTGCCGTACCCCCGGGGCGGGCAGCGGCCGTCCTGCTGCCCTGTCTCATCCAGCACACCCCGTCCCAGCCCACTCCATCCCGGATTGCACTCACACATGCATGGGCACAGCCTGGGCTCCTTTACCCCCAAACTTTATTCATGTGGCACATTTACAGCAAGGATTGGAATAACTAGACAATGAAAATGCTGGGTTTGCATTATCGGTTGGTTTAACTGGAACACCACACACCATGCAGTCATGTACCGCCAAGTTCAGTGCCTGTATTGCCCTTCTGGCTGCCGTCACCGGCTTCGCTCCAGGCCATGCACGCACGGGCCCGGGGCTGCAGCCTCCCTGCAGGTCAGCACCCGGATGAGGGCTCCATTCAGCAGGGCCCCGGGGCTGGGTGACACTGGGTGACACTGGGGTTGCACGCCCTCAGCCTGCCCCGTGGCTGCCCCCGACTGCGAACCCACCCAGCCAGAGGGGACGCGCTCGGCAACTCTCAGGCAACAAGCCAGCTGCTGCTGAGCATCCGCGGGGACCCGCGAGGGGCACGGGGAGTGCGGGGACCGCGGGCACGCGGGGGCTGAGCCTCAGCATGGGAACCGGGGGAGCGGGAGGGGAGCGGGCCGGGGGACCTGGGCCGATTTACAGATCCCCTGCTCCAGGTACCTGTGGGTCGGGGCCAGCGCGCGCTGGCACGTCCACCGCCGGCAATGGACGCGGTGCTGCGGCACACCTGGCCCCGGCGGAGCTGGGACGGGTCGGTGGTGCTGGGGCAGGGCTGGGCATCCCACCCATCCCCGAGAGGCACGAGCGGACGGGACGGGGGCTCTGCACGCTGTCACCTCCCCCCTGCTGCCCGCCTACCCGCCCGCCGGGCCCCTGCCCCACTGAAGGGAGCCCTCCGGGGCCCCGCAGCCCGCACCAGGGCTGCCAGGGGCTCTGCAGCGGAGAATACAGGCACTTCACCTTGAACATAAAGAGACGGATTGCGTTTGTCACATACAGGAGTCAGAGAGGGGTTAGTGTCGCTTCAAAAAGAGGGGAGAAAGGCGCTCGGGGAGAGGCCGGGGCTGGCGGGGAGGGCGGGGGCCGTCTCGACACTGCTGAGTCTCTAGGAGCGCGGCGTGGGCACGCGCTGCAGCAGCCGTCAAGGCCTGAAAACATAAAACCAGCAAAAAGAAAGAAGGGAAGGCGGGGACGGCCCATGCCGGGGGACGTGGTGGCTACGGGGCGGGAGAGGGAGGACGGGGTGGGGCGCGGAGGGAGGGACGGAAATCGGGAGCCAAAGAAAAGAACAAACTACGAGTCTAAAATGTGGTGCAAGCGCCCTACGCGGCTGTCCGCTAGCATGGCATAATGTCCGGAGCAGCCCAGAGAGGGAGTCACATCAGGTCTACACAGATTTGCCTTCCCATATATACAACCTCTACTGGAGTAACAGCTGAATTGAGATTTGTGTCGGTTCCTCTGGCCTCGGTTGCCGTTTGAATGCTAGAGCCCGTCCTCCCCGCCTCGCCGGCGCCGGGCGCATGCAGCCCTGCCTGGCCTGCCCTGGGGATCAAAAGGGTTTGGAGGTCTGCTTGAAGATGAAGCCTCTATGGGCCAGTGTCTTCATGATGTTGGCGATGTTCTTACAGTCATCTGCGGAGAGAGCACAGAGGCACCGCGTTAGAGAAGGTCTGGCGCAGTGACGTCGCCTGGGCTGCGTCCCCAGCTGGGCTCCAGCTCCCAGCCGTCTCCCTGCGAGCCCAGCGCCCGACTGCCCCGTGGCCGCACCAGGGACGGGGCTGCCCCGCTCAGAGCTGTCCCCATCGTGGCCTCAGGCTGCCCCGCTCAGAGCTGTCCCCATCGTGGCCTCAGGCTGCCCCGCTCACAGCTGTCCCCATCGTGGCCTCAGGCTGCCCCGCTCAGAGCTGTCCCCATCGTGGCCTCAGGCTGCCCCGGTGCCACGCAGCCGCGGTGCCGACAGACGGCCGGAGCGTGGGGAGGGGGCAGGCGCTGCCGTTATTTACCTGGGACTAAACGCAGGCACCGTTTGCTAAAATAGAAGCCGGGCTTAAATTGATTCCTGGTGTCTATATTTCATGTTGAAAATTGGCTTGTAAATCCATGTTTTGATCTATGAGGGCCGTCTCCTTAAGAAAAAGCAAGAGTAAATGTGTAATTTCTCCCTTGACAGCACACGGCACAGAGGCGATCCTTCTTCCCGCTCCCCTCCGTTTCGGGACAGCTCCACTCGTTCCGATTACCACTCTTTCTTCCTCGCCCCACGCCTTGATGTCTCCATTTCATTACCGCGCGCCCATTTATCAAGCTGTTACCGTAAGGGTGACTTTGCCCACTTGCGTGTGGCAGCGGGGCCCGGCCGGCGCGGGGAGCAGTGCCCGGGGAGGGGGCGCGGGCTGAGCCCCCCTCTCGCCGCCGCCGCCGGATGGATGTTGTGGCGGAGGGAAGGCTGCATCATTACTGATGTGTAAATGATAAAGAAGCCTCCACATCCATCTCCCAACTGTAAATCCAGGGAGTGCTTTATAATCAAGCTACAGCGATAATAATGTGAAATTAGGTCTCTCTATCAACGGGAGGAGGCCTTTTAATCACGGCTTAAAGGGTGCAAACGCTGTTTATCATAATTGAACTGTATCCGGGCTAATTGTGGCCATATTTCACTGTCTAGGAGACAGCAGGCTGCCTGCTGACAGTGCCTCGTGCCGCATTGAGACCCCGCGTGGCCGTGCCGTGCCGCTGCCAGGTGCCGTCAGCCGGACTGTGCCACCCTGCTGTGCTGGTGGCAGGAGCGCTGTCACCTGGCATGGCCACGGGCTGGGGGCACCTCTGTCCCACGGCCCCGGAGCTGCTGAGGATGCTCCTGACACCGGCATCCCAGCCCATGGGTGGAAGATACGGCGTCCCCGTTAGCTGCACGTGTCCCTGTCACAGCCACCGGGCATCGCGGAGACGCAGGGCACTGCTTGGGAGATCTCACCATCCCACAGCTCACGGACAAGGTTTGCTCACAGCATCCCCTTCTCCGTGTCCCCGTGTTCCCAGTCCCTCCACCCGTGCCCGGTGGGACAGCATGGGGACACGGCGGCTCCCTCCCCCTCCGGGCACCCTGCGGGGTGGCAGCCCCAGAGGCACAGCCACCAACACCATGAGTCGTTTTGGGAGCTTCAATCCAAATCAGTGCGAAGGTAAACACGCTTATTATAATTATCCATGTACAAAAAAAATCAACAACAGCAGAACAACTTTCTAATATGCAATTACAGCCATCTATTGATTTTACAATGTAATCCGCTCCGATTGATTTAATAACACAATTATAGGCTGGCTCTCGGGATATTAGAGTGGGAGATTTTCATAAACTCCAAAGCAAAAAACTAAGCGGCTTTTAAAACAACACAGTCAGATGGCTGTTTGGGGAATTATTAGCAATATGAAATCCTCTAAATCTGGCCGTCGTTACCTTGTGGAAGGAATTTCTATTACAAAAATGGCAATCGACAACCTAAAACAGCACGGACGGGATTGCTCTGCTGCTCTTTCAGTGCTTAATCCATCGCAAAGGTGGCCACGGGGCTGGGGGCAGGGCCAGGGATGGGCAAGGGGGCAGGTGTGGGGTTGGGGACAGGGGCAGCCCCGTTGTCCAGCTGCCCCCCAGGGAGGCACACAGCCACAACAGGACCCAGAGCCCCTGCAGTGCCCGCACGGCACCGCTCACCCTGTGTCCCGTTGGAGTGACAACACACGGGCCCCAGAGCCTGCTCCCCATTCCCACTGCCCCGTCCGCAGCCCTGCGGCACCCACCCACATCCTCACACCCACTGCCACCTCCACGGCACTGGGGTGCCCACGTGTCCCCATGCCCAGCACTGGGGAAGGCAGCCCTGCACCACTGTCCCTTGCTCTGCGCAGCCTCCGTGCCCCGGCTCCCTCCATGTATTCCCGACTTTATGGGCACATTTTTCTTGTCAAGCTGACAGGGTTGCTAAGTGGATTTCTCCCTGATATGCGGACGGATTATCACATTACTCCAATGTCCTACACAAACATATTACTTTATATTCAATAGCTCTAATGAATATAAACTGCTTTTTCTTTTTGGGGGGCGGGGGGTAATCTATAGATTTTTAATGAGGGCACTATTAACTCCCTCCTCTTTAAAACAGACTTAGGTGCAGCCTCTGAGTAGAAAATCAATGGTGTTATTGTAGGAATATTGTATATTGATATTGTAATAATAAGATGCAATTGATTTAGGGGTGTTTCGCACCGTGTAGGAAGGGGTCAGCCCGGGGTTACCCGGCAAACGGAGCGCGGCTGCGCCGTGCTGTCCCACACTGCGCCGTGTCACGTCTTGCCGTCACCCACTGTGGGCACGGGGTGGCCGGGGCCAAGCTCATCCCGACAGCTCTGCACTGTCCCCACGTCCTGCCTGGGATTGCAACTGCTTGGCACCGCAGGGTACAGGGACTGCTGTGGCCCATCTCCATGTCCCCATCGGGAGCGAGCCCCGCGCGCCCGTGCTGCGGCTGGAAGACGGATCACCCCCCGGCCCGAGCTGAGCAGGTCCATATTTAAGCTGTCCCCATGCTTTATGGTCTGTACGAGAACTGATGCTCAGGCGACCGGGGGCCATTTGTCAATGTTCTAATGGCAGATTACTGTTAATGAATAATATCGCCGCTCCCTTTGTACAACAGCTCCCTGCAAAGTGGGAACAGGGACGCGCGACCACCGCCTCCCCGCTGCCGACCGCTGGTGACGGCCAGTGGCCCCATGACCTGGCAGCCACTCGGTCCCAGTGGCCCTAAGGGGACCAGACACCCCCCAGCTCTGGGATCAGCAGGATGCGGGTCCCACCGCAGGGTGACCTTGGCAAGCGTCACAGCCCAGCTCTGGTAAGGGCAGGACATGTAGGGACAGACGGCCGCAGCGGTGACAAGGACAGGTTAGGGCCACATCACCCTGCACGGTGCGGGGTCGGCGTGCCCCAGCTGCCGGCAGGTGTGTTATGAGGAGCTGACAGCGACGTGCAGAATATTAAGAATAACTTACCTCATTATCTGCAATTACGTTACTGCCACACACCTCATTTCTTCACGAAGAAAAGGAAATTAGCTTTATATTGACTTCATCCCACTGCCTCTCCTGGCTGCCCCGCCGGAGAGCCGCTCAGGATTTGGAGACAATTGGTGCCTCGCTCCATCCATCCCCTACCTGTTGCCATCCCTGTGCTGGGGGATGGGGTGCCCTTCCCCGTCCCAAATCCCACCCACACCACGGGCACCCTACAGCTGCCGGGTCCCTCACCTCCCGTGCCCCAGGGCAGCACAGGGGGCGTGCAGGGGATGGGGACGTCCCAGTTCTGACGTGGCCAAGGACCTCCACTTGCCCCGCGTCCCCATGAACGGCCCCAGACAAACCACGCGAGCAGCCCTGGGAGGGCTGAGCGATACAGGGAAAAAGCCAATTTCATCTTTATTAGGAGGAGATTTCTCTTTTAGTAATAAGCACACTTCAAATAATTAGCGTGTTTTACGTAATAATGAAATTATGGAAATGCAGGCCACTTATTCAAACAAGTCGCCATTACCATATTTTTAAATATTAGACTTAATTAGAGTTTATCACTTCAGAGAAGTACGAGGAGTGGAGATTTTTTTTCCTTTACAAAAAAAATCCTCATAAAGTGTTTATTAAGAGCGGGTAAGAAGGGGATAATGATCTGTTTGGAAATTAAGGCAATCAAACATTTAATGCTCTGCACTCCTGTAGGCAAAAGCATTCAAATGAGTCAATTATACATCCATTATCCAGGCACGATTAAACAAGGCAGGACGGGGAATTTGTCCTCCCCATCACACGATTGTCGCGAGGACTTATGTCCACTTAAAGGCAGCTAATAAAACACCCAACTTGTGGGAAGAGAGGAGGGAAGGAGCGGGGAAAGGGATGGGGTGGGAAGAAGGGGGACGAGGGAGCGGGTCAGCGGGAGCGCCGAGGGGAGAGGTGGGAGATCCGTAATGATGCGGCGGTGTCTGCATCCCAGCCCGCCATAAATCAAAGTAATTAAGTTAACATGAAAATCAACTTCGCCATCCCGTTAAATTACGGCATTTGCATATTAGGACTCAAATGAAGTAGGTGCTGGAGAGGGGGAGGAGGAAGAGGAGGAAGATTTGGGGGGAGGAGGGCGGGGATCCGCGCTCCAAAAAGGCGCCCATTTATTACGGTGAATAACTAATTCCAGAATTTATAGCGCTGGATTTTTGTTCCCGTGCCATTTATATTACAGAAGGAAATTAAGGGGCGGGCAGGAGGCTGGCTGGACATCTTTCTGCGTTATTGCTTGTCTGCCATTTGCAAATCATTATTAATTGTGGCCCGTGTCGCTGGTGCAGCAGGGCAGGGTGCCTGGACAGCCGGAGCAGACACACATATCTCTTCATCAGGACCCCAGCCGCTAGCCCTGGAGAGCCAATTACCCCTCCCTGATTGGTATCAGATAAGGAGGGAATTTTTACAAATTAGGGAATAAATAGAATTTCCACACGTGGAGCAGGGAGGGCTTGAGAGGCAGTAATGAAAAACGATACATCACCATCAGCCAGACAACCCTATTCATACGCCGATGC